GACAAAATCCATTGTCACCTGTTGCCATGTCATTCGGGTGGCTCAAGGGGCTGCAGTAGGCCGGCTGGGCATTGTCGTGTCGACTTTATGGCATGGCACCCTTTGCATGAAGACACATAACGATGCATGTCAGAAGAGGAGTCAGACCAAAATTATTAATGATGCAGAATATTCTGCGTCTTATCAACCCCAAAATATTTCGAGAGTTTGCAATAGTGGACCTCCTCGATGAGCAGTTTGCGAAGTGGGCGGGAAGCGGGTACCCAAATCTGGTCAGTTCTGGCTTTTAGGTAATATTATTATTTCCGCGTCGTCACCTGCTGTTGCCAGTTGTGGAGAACAGGTTTGTCGTGTAGCCGTGCGTGAATAGCCCCGAAAAGAGTGGGTTCGAACGAGTAATTAATACTGCAGCGGATCGAACTGTCGGGCGGGTGAAGGCATCGGCAATGTTATTAGCCGCCTTTTTGAAGGTGATGCGGTGGTTGAAGTGGGACTCCATGTAGTCGAGCCACCTGATTTGTCGCGGGTTGAGATTGGGCTGCGTCGGAGACACTGTAGCGACTTGTGGACCGTGCGAACAGTGACGTCTGCGCTAGTCAGGTAGTAGCGCCACGATTTGAACGTGTGTATAATGGCAAGCATCTCCTTGTCGCGGATCGAGTAGTTGCGCTCCACTGGTTGCAACTTCCGTGACTCGTAAGCTATCGGGCTAAGCCGTTGCCGAGATCTTGGAGTAGTACAGCGCAGATGGCGAAATCAGAGGCGTCGATGATGACTTCGAAGGGCTTGGATGGGTCGGTGATGCGCAAAACTGGAGGGGACACTAGTTTTTCTTCAACTCTTGAAAAGTCGCCTCAGCTCTCCCCCCCTCCCCCCCCCCCCTTCCTCTCTCCCACCTCCTCCCCCCCTTTGGCCCCCTCACCGCACAAAATTGTGGTCCTTGTGCAGCAGGTCGCTCAGCGAGCCGGTTATCCCCGCTATATTCGAAAAACCGTCGGACGCAATTCACGAACCCAAAAAAAAACTGAAGTTCCGTGACATTTGTCGGTGCTTCCCACTCATGTATAGTCTTGATTTTCTTCGGGCCGATGCCATCGCGTGAGATAACGCGCCCCCAAAACTCCAACTTCTGCTTAAAACATTCACACTGAGACCCCTTGGTGATGATTCGGTTGTTTTGGAGGCGTTTAAACATTGCGTCGAGGTCGCGGAGGTATTGTTCGCGTCTCCTACGAAAAATCAGAATATCGTTCAAGTAGACGATAACACATTTTTCGAGGAAATCCTAAAACACACTGTTCATGGTCAGTTGAAAAGTCGAAGGCGCGTTCGTGAGGCCGAATGTCGTTAGGTGAACTCCTAGTTTTTGTAGCGGGTTCTGAAGGCGGTCTTGTGACAATTGCCGGCGAAGACCCTTACCTGATGGTCTCCGCCACGTAGATCGATTTTGGAGAAGTAGCGAGCGCCACGAAGTTGGTCGAGTAGGTTGTCGGTGCGTGGGATTGGGTAGCGAAATAGAGGTCTCGTCTTCCACGTGTGACACACCTGTCGCCACCACTCCAATGCGAGTCCTAGGAGAAGCGAAATCGCGTAATTAATATGTGTGGCGTCTTTGCTTACACTCATAGAAGACCTCCACGCTAAACAGCCACCCCTGAACCATTGTATTCTTGTCCGTAGGGTTGAACAGGGGTGGGCTCATCAGCTTGATCTTGATCATTGTAATTGCAATTGCTTGTGTCGGTGTTGTTCGCCTATCGCTTTCTTCAACACCGCGTGTGAGCTCGCCAATTGCATCGACACCACACACTCCTTGGCTGATGGTTTCGCCTTCTTCAATGGGCGACTCCTGGCGCGCTTCACCTCGCGCCTGGCGTAGCCAGGTTTTTTCCTCTCGTAACGGCTCCACTTCCGTCGTTGATGTCTTCAAAGTGTTCTACATGTTTGTCATCTACTGCAACAGTGCAAGCGCAAAAGCTATCGGAGTCGGGCAAGTTTAATTTAATAGATGCAGCCAACTGCTTTGCAACCCACCGCACCAGTCACACCTGTGCTACTAAACTACCTTCAAAAGCGGGGTTAACTAGGTAAATAGCTCTGGTACGATGTGTTATGAGTTGCAAAATCGAGTCGCGCGGAAAACGAATATCGAAGCTGTGACGAATATCAAACTGACAATACAATGAAGGCAAGTGATAATATATTGACTAGGGCTAATTTTATCAGTGTAAATTACCCTGATACCGTGATTATAAGGGTGATTCTTTACAGTCACACTTTTGCCTTAGGGTAAAATCAGAGACCTCCATTTTCCTGATCTGTCAGTGTTTACGTTTGAGGCACACTTTGGCCCTAGGGTAATCGATTTTCTTAGTGAGTTTTGCCCCGAAGTGAGTACCAGGCATCTGGACCCCTCCCCCCACCCCCCCCCCCCACTTTTTTTAGCCCGAGATTTCCGTTGGCTGACTGTGTGTACCGAAATTTTCGCGGCGATTGTGTGTTGGCATGAAAGTTGTCTACCATTAAGCGCTGGATGCTCTATTATACCAACAACAACACTAAAATTAACTAGATACAAATGTAAACCTTGTTTTGAAAATTGCTACACTCTGCCTCTAGTGCCAAGATACTAAGGTGGGTTTAGGAAGCGAGGGAAGGTTGGCCACGAAAGAGGTTTGCAATAACAACAAGAGTACAAGATATAGGAAAGGAGAGGTGTCCAAGGGAGTTGCACCACCTAAAGACAAGATTGGATGATACTACACCACTATCTATGCATGTAATTATATAAATTATTTATTTTCTGACATCCCCCCTTAAATGCATGTAAGTCTAGCTAGTGTAGGGGCTCAACCCGAAGCACAGCAATCACCGTGCAGCAGCTGGGCCCCATCTCACTATTTTTACATTTCCTTTTGCCATCCTTCCCAACCTCCTGGATTAATTCCTCTCATCAGGCAGTCAAGCCGATCTTGCTGGTTCCGAGTCCCGCCGAATCCTGCCTGTCGCTTCAAATCTGCACCAAATAGAGGAGAGTGACAACCAGGACGAGGGGGAGGATGAGAGGGTGGAGAGAAGGAATTTATATGAGGCTGCAGAAGAGATTGATGGGGAGAGAAAACGGGTCCACGTTTCTGGTGGCTCAGAGCTCGGTTTGAACCGCCTGCGGTTTAAACCGCCGCAGTGGATGCTCGGTGTGTGCGACGAGGGCCGACCACGCCCAGCTACGATGGATAGAGAATAGACAAGAAAACATAACATGTGAATCTCTCTCTCTCTCTCTCTCTCTCTCTCTCTCTCTCTCTCTCTCTCTCTCTCTCTCTCTCTCTCTCTCTCTCTCTCTCTCTCTCTCTCTCTCTCTCTCTCTCTCTCTCTCTCTCTCTCACCCCCTTAACCCCCCTCCCCCCCCCCACAGCAACAAGTGCTTCAGGGAGAGAGGAAGAGGGATGGGCTGCTAGCCGCTCACACCCGCCACCCCCACATCTCCCCCTCCCCCCCCCCCCCCTCCTCCCCCCCTACGGCGGAAGCCGCAGAAGGGAGGGGGGGGGGGGGGGGGGGGCGGCGTTAGCAGCTGCTGGCGCATGCGCTCCGCGCTGGCGCTGGCGACAGTCGCAAGTGCTGGCGCTGACGCTAGCGCTGGTCGCAGGTGCTGGCGATGGCGGTCCGCGCGGGCGCTGGCGCTTGCGCTCCGCACTGGCGCTGGCGCTTGCACTCCGCGCTGGCGCTGGTGGCAGTTGCAGGTGTTGGCACTGGCGCTGGCGTTGGCGTTCCGCGGCGGCGCTTGCATGGACGACGGGAAGGGCGACGAGCGCGACGAGCGCTACAAGCGAGGGACGCGACAGGCAGAACGGGCAGAGTGTAGGGTGACGAGCGCAACGGGCGCAGGGCGCGACAGGCATGAAAAAAAATAGTGCATTTCGCGCTGCAGCATGGGCGGGCCCATGTTCATTAAATAAAATAGGTCCTAGACCGGGACGAGAGAAAGTTGGCCAAGAAAGAGGTTTGCAATAACAACGAGAGTACAAGATCTAGGTAAGGAGAGGTGGGCAAGGGTGGTGCACCACCTAAAGTCAAGATTGGATGATACTGCACTACTAGCTATGCATATAATAATATAATAATTTTATATTCTGACATCTAGGGTTTTTTTTTTAAGAACGTCAGAAACCCTGATGCAAAATTGTGAACCCCGGCCCAGCTTGAAATGGCCGCGGAAATTTGGCAAATCTACGTGTGAACAAGGTCACAAAGCAGGGGCGCGAGCGTCAGTCGACTGCACGGACATTCGTGTTGGGTCCACTTGAATTCCAAGTTGGACATGGGTTACACGACCATTTCCGTTCCCGCTGGTGCCCATCGTCATCTTAGAGAACACAGAAGCTACGTGGCCGGCTTTAGCGGGAACATAGCAGAAAAGAGGCCACACGGGGTGTGACACAGTAGAGACGAAAGTAACCGTCATCCATAGTAAGACAGGGTACTTCCAGGTAGAATATTTATCGAACACATACCTGACTACGCTGCCTAGTGTACGATTTCTCATATCGTAGCGCAATTCGAGGCCCCACTCAGAAACATTCGCTGATAGTACTCGTCGTGAAGACGAGCGCCACGGCGTATAATTGAGCAAGTCGACAGGAGCGAACCCTTGCTACGTTTGGGTACGGAACAGAAGTCCAGCCATTGCGTCCAGGACAATTGCATGACCGACTCCGCAAGGGGCGCACCGAAATCGAAACCGCTCACTAAGCAGGTAGCGAACCCGCGGATGGCGCTTAGGCGAGGCTTGCGCCATGGTGATGACTAGGGTACAGACGGCCTGCACGCCCGTGAGACGCAGGCCGTCACGTTCGTAGTTCGACCGCGAGGTAGCGTTATGAGGTGAGTCGATGTCGACCATTCCCTGTTCCCCCATTGCCTGCTGCCCCATTTTGTGTTCCCCCATTCCCCGCTCCCCCAGCAGCAGGCGCCTCTAGGTTCGCGCCCTCACCGCATTAGACATGCCTCACGGGCAGCACGTCCGCGACATGCTGTCCGTCGACGTCAGACGGTCGGCAGACGCGCGAAATGCTGCCCGTCATTTTCTGACGGGGGTATTTTCGCGAAATGCGTAATGCGTCTGTCTGACAGGCGGCATTCGCACGCTATGCGGAAAGCGGCTGTCAGACGAGCAGCATGCTCGCGAGATACCTCCCATCACTGTCCGACGGCCAGCATACGCGAGCTGTCAGACAGTGACGGGCAGCATTTCGCTCGAAATGAGGGACATCCGTGCCTGACGGGCAGCTGGCGCACGAAATGATGCCCGTCACTGTCTGACGGGCAGCACGCGCGGCCCATTCCCGGTTCTCCCCTTCCCCGTTCGAGCATTCCCTGCTCCCCCATTCCCTGCTCCCCCATTCCCTGCTCCCCCATTCCCTGTTCCCCCATTCCCCGTTCCCCCATTCCCTGTTCCCCCATCCCCCGCTCCCCCATTCCCTGTCCCCCCATTCCCTGCTCCTCCATTCCCTGTCCCCCATTCCCTGTTCCCCCATCCCTGCTCCCCCATTCCCTGTCCCCCCATTTCCTGCTCCCCCATTCCCTGTCCCCCGTTCCCTGTTCCCCCACTTCCTGTTCCCCCATTCCCCGCTCCCCATTCCCTGTTCCCCCATACCCCGCTCTCCCATTCACTTTTCCCCCATTCCACGCTCCCCCATTCCGCATCCCCCCATTCCCCGTTCCCTCATTCCCTGCTCCCCCATTCCCTGCTCCCCCATTCCCTTCTCCCCCATTCCCTGTCCCCCCATTCCCCAAGACAGAATTCTCCGCTCCCCCATTCCCTGCTCCCCCATTCCCTGTTCCCCCAACCCGCGCTCCCCCATTCCCTATTCCCCCATTTTCCGCTCCCCCATTCCCTGTTCCCCCATTCCCCGCTCCCCCGTTTCCTGTCCCCCGATTCCCTTACCTCCAATCCCTGTCCCCCCATTCCCTGTTTCCCCATTCCCTGTTCCCCCATTCCCCGCTCCCCCATTCCCTGTTCCCACATTCTCCGCTCCCCTGTTCCCTGTCCCCCAATTCCCTGTCCCCCCATTCCCCGTTCCCTCATTCCCTGCTCCCCCATTCCCTGCTCCCCCATTCCCTGTTCCCCCATTCCCTGTCCCCCCATTCCCTAAGACAGAATTATCCGCTCCCCCATTCCCTGTTCCCCCATTCCCTGTCCCCCCATTCCCTGCTCCTCCATTCCCTGTCCCAAAGTTCCCTGCCCCCCCCTTCTCTGCTCCCCCGATTCCCTGTCCCCCCATTCCCCGTTCCCCCATTCCCCGTCCCCCCATTCCCTATCCCCCGTTCCCTGATCCCCCACTTCCTGTTCCCCCCGTCCCCGCTCCCCATTCCCTGTTCCCCCATACCCCGCTCCCCCATTCACTTTTCCCCCATTCCCCCCTCCCCCATTCCCCATCCCCCCATTCCCCGTTCCCTCATTCCCTGCTCCCCCATTACCTTCTCCCCCATTCCCTGTCCCCCCATTCCCTTAGACAGAATTATCCGCTCCCCCATTCCCTGTTCCCCCATTCCCCGCTCCCCCATTCCCCGCTCCCCCAGTCCCTGTTCCCCCATTCCCCGCTCCCCCATTCCCTGTTCCCCCATTGCCCGCTCCCCCGTTTCCCGTCCCCGATTTCCTTACCCCCAATCCCTGTCCCCTCATTCCCTGTTCCCCCATTCCCTGTTCCCCCATTCCCTGTTCCCCCATTCCCTGTTCCCCCATTCCCTGTTCCCCCATTCCCCGCTCCCCCATTCCCCGCTCCCCCAGTCCCTGTTCCCCCATTCCCCGCTCCCCCATTCCCTGTTCCCCCATTGCCCGCTCCCCCATTCCCCGCTCCCCCAGTCCCTGTTCCCCCATTCCCCGCTCCCCCATTCCCTGTTCCCCCATTGCCCGCTCCCCCGTTTCCCGTCCCCGATTTCCTTACCCCCAATCCCTGTCCCCTCATTCCCTGTTCCCCCATTCCCTGTTCCCCATTCCCTGTTCTCCCATTCCCTGTTCCCCCATTCCCCGCTCCCCATTTCCTGTCCCCCGATTTCCTTACCCCCAATCCCTGTCCCCCCATTCCCTGTCCCCCATTCCCTGTTCCCCCGTTCCCTGTCCCTCGATTCCCTGTCCCCTATTCCCCGTCTCCCCATTCCCCGTTCCCTCATTCCCTGCTCCCCCATTCCCTGCTCCCCCATTCCCTTCTCCCCCATTCCCTCCTTCCCCATTCCCTTCTCCCCCATTCCCTGTCCCCCCATTCCCTTCTCCCCCATTCCCTACTCCCCCATTCCCTTCTTCCCCATTCCCTTCTCCCCCGTTCCCTTCTCCCCCCCCCTCCCCATTCCCTTCTCCCCATTCCCTTCTCCCCCATTCCCGGCTCCCCCATTCCCTTCTCCCCATTCCCTTCTCCCCCATTCCCTTCTCCCCATTCCCTTCTCCCCCATTCCCTTCTCCCCCATTCCCTTCTCCCCCATTCCCTTCTCCCCCATTCCCTTCTCCCCCATTCCCTTCTCCCCCATTCCCTTCTCCCCCATTCCCTTCTCCCCCATTCCCTTCTCCCCCATTCCCTTCTCCCCCATTCCCTTCTCCCCCATTCCCTTCTCCCCCATTCCCTTCTCCCCCATTCCCGGCTCCCCCATTCCCGGCTCCCCCATTCCCTTCTCCCCTATTCCCTTCTCCCCCCATTCCCTTCTCCCCCATTCCCTTCTCCCCCATTCCCTTCTCCCCCATTCCCTTCTCCCCCATTCCCTTCTCCCCATTCCCTTCTCCCCCATTCCCTTCTCCCCATTCCCTGTCCCCCCATTCCCTTCTCCCGCATTCCCTTCTCCCCCATTCCCTTCTCCCCCATTCCCTTCTCCCCCATTCCCCCCCCCCATTCCATTCTCCCGCATTCCCTTCTCCCCCATTCCCTTCTCCCCCATTCCCTCCTCCCCCATTCCCTCTCCCCCATTCCCTTCTCCCCCATTCCCTTCTCCCCCATTCCCTTCTCCCCCATTCCCTTCTCCCCCATTCCCTTCTCCCCCATTCCCTTCTCCCCCATTCACTTCTCCCCCATTCCCTGCTCCCCCATTCCCCTCCCCCATTCCCTTCGTCCCCATTCCCTCTCCCCCATTCCCTGTCCCCCATTCCCTGTCCCCCCATTCCCTTCTCCCCCATTCCCTACTCCCCCATTCCCTTCTCCCCCATTCCCTTCTCCCCCATTCCCTTCTCCCCCATTCCCTTCTCCCCCATTCCCTTCTCCCCCATTCCCTTCTCCCCCATTCCCTTCTCCCCCATTCCCTTCTCCCCCATTCCCTTCTCCCCCATTCCCTTCTCCCCCATTCCCTGTCCCCCCATTCCCTTCTCCCGCATTCCCTTCTCCCTCATTCCCTTCTCCCCCATTCCCTTCTCCCCCATTCCCTTCTCCCCCATCCCTTCTCCCCCATTCCCTTCTCCCCCATTCCCTTCTCCCCCATTCACTTCTCCCCCATTCCCTGCTCCCCCATTCCCTTCTCCCCCATTCCCTTCGTCCCCATTCCCTTCTCCTCCATTCCCTGTCCCCCCATTCCCTCTCCCCCATTCCCTACTCCCCCATTCCCTTCTCCCCCATTCCCTTCTCCCCCATTCCCTTCTCCCCCATTCCCTTCTCCCCCATTCCCTTCTCCCCCATTCCCTTCTCCCCCATTCCCTTGTCCCCCATTCCCTTCTCCCCCATTCCCTTCTCCCCCATTCCCTTCTCCCCATTCCCTTCTCCCCCATTCCCGGCTCCCCCATTCCCGGCTCCCCCATTCCCTTCTCCCCTATTCCCTTCTCCCCCATTCCCTTCTCCCCCATTCCCTTCTCCCCCATTCCCTTCTCCCCCATTCCCTTCTCCCCCATTCCCTTCTCCCCCATTCCCTTCTCCCCCATTCCCTTCTCCCCCATTCCCTGTCCCCCCATTCCCTTCTCCCGCATTCCCTTCTCCCCCATTCCCTTCTCCCCCATTCCCTCCTCCCCCATTCCCTTCTCCCCCATTCCCTTCTCCCCCATTCCCTTCTCCCCCATTCCCTTCTCCCCCATTCCCTTCTCCCCCATTCCCTTCTCCCCTATTCCCTTCTCCCCCATTCCCTTCTCCCCCATTCCCGGCTCCCCCATTACAGAATGTCACCTTTTATCCAGTGTGTAGGCATGCGCATTAAGCCGTGTCCATTCTTCTGAAATCACACTCACCTCCGATACCAACCCCCAGTTGCCTGTAGGAACCCCTCTCAAATCACTCACAGCTCCTCATCTGACGGCTGTGGTGCTCTAAGCTACGTGCTTGTCAAGACAGCGACATCTTCTTGCGAGGTTAGGCACCCCACTCATCCACTCACTGCTGCCATCTACTGCTCTCACTGCTGCCATCTACTGCTCTCACTGCTGCCATCTACTGCTCTCTCTGCTGCCATCTACTGCTCTCTCTGCTGCCCACTCCATTTTGTCAATGTCCTGGCCCACTCCATTTTGTCCTGGCTCGTACATGTAGGCTCGTACACTCCATAAATGTGGGCTCTTCAATGTCCTGGCCCACTCCATTTTGTCTCCATCTCACCCCCGTCTGACGGCCACCCCTCAGTTTCCCACCCTCTGCCAAGCATGGCCCGACGTGTGCGCAGACGCACAGGTCAACCACCTAAAGTGCATCACCCTGAGTGGTGTTGGAGGTTGCCTGCATTTGAGAATAAGTATCCAAAGCAGGCTACGGTGCTTGAGCAATGGAGTGCAGAGTGGCTTGGGTTGCGGTCTGAGAGTGAGTTACAACATGGGAGGGCGACTGTTGAGAACATTTTACGAGTGTGTTGTGGGGGCAATACCCGAAGCTGTTGCATGGGTAAACCGTTGCTGCCCAAAAATCATTGCTTCCGCTGCTATGTCACATACTCCCGCTTGCTTGGTGACCACCCTTTTGCACAGGTTAGATTGCCCTGGCTGATATATGTCGTGATCAGCTCACTATATCCAGAAAGCGGTGATGGCCGTTACGAGCATTGCAATCCGGGGGACATTGAGCACTTCATTAGTCAGTTGGTGGTGCCGGATGTCATTGACTTTGAGGTTGATGGTTGGGGTAATTGAGAGAATGACGCTGTTCATGCGTGGCTGCTATTTGTACCGTACTTGTATACGATCTACATATGTGTGTGTACCAGACCACTAGAGAGTATGTGAAGTTTAGCAAAATGCATCCTAATCAAAGAGTAGTGAATAGGAACGCAACACTATTGATGGTTGACGCCGGGCTGTTTGATGGGCTGGGACACATGATGGTGGTGCCTGTTTTGCGGGAAGCCCAACCAACAACGGTGGGGAGAAAACGGAAGGCATGAATATGGCTAGCAGAAACTACTCCAGTACAAGAGACACATGAGATATGAAGATTGTGCGCAGCAATATCAATTTTCCACCTAAGAATTTGGGAGCGGTTTAGGAGGTAAACGGTATCGAGCGGGGTATAACAACTACCCAGGTTGGGGGCAACCGTTGCACGAGAGGATAGCAAGAAGATATGTGTGAAAGCAAGTGTGTGAGTAAGGCACCCAGGGTGGAATGAAAGAATCACTAGGGGGGGGGGTGAGTGCTCATGTGTTTGGGGTGGCAAAAGGTGGCTACGCGTGTAGAGCAGTGTGAGTGGAATTCTCTGATGCGAAGGGGGGAAAGGGTGAGAGGATACTAGTGATGATCGTGTGCGGGTGGTATTTGATGGGGTGGGGAGCGTGCCATGGAGGACAGATGGCAGCCTCTGGAGGGTGTGGGGGGGGTTGTCACCGTGGGGGAGTGTCTGGGGGCCTGAGTAGGCTGGAGGGTAGGCTGGAGGGTAGGCTGGAGGGTAGGCTGGAGGGTAGGCTGGAGGGTAGGCTGGTGGGTAGGTTGGAGGGTAGGCTGGAGGGTAGACTGGAGGGTAGGCTGGAGGGTAGGCTGGTGGGTAGGCTGGAGGGTATGCTGGTGGGTAGGTTGGAGGGTAGGTTGGTGGGTAGGTTGGTGGGTAGGCTGGAGGGTAGGCTGGTGGGTAGGCTGGAGGGTAGGCTGGTGGGTAGGCTGGAGGGTAGGCTGGAGGGTAGGCTGGTGGGTAGGTTGGAGGGTAGGCTGGAGGGTAGACTGGAGGGTAGGCTGGAGGGTAGGCTGGAGGGTAGGCTGGTGGGTAGGTTGGAGGGTAGGCTGGAGGGTAGACTGGAGGGTGGGCTGGAGGGTAGGCTGGAGGGTAGGCTGGTGGGTAGGTTGGAGGGTAGGCTGGAGGGTAGACTGGAGGGTAGGCTGGAGGGTAGGCTGGTGGGTAGGCTGGAGGGTATGCTGGTGGGTAGGTTGGAGGGTAGGTTGGTGGGTAGGTTGGTGGGTAGGCTGGAGGGTAGGCTGGTGGGTAGGCTGGAGGGTAGGCTGGTGGGTAGACTGGAGGATAGGATGGGGCGGCCTGGAGGGTAGGCTGGAGGGTAGGCTGGAGGGTATTCTGGAGGGTAAGTTGGGCTGTAGGCTGGTGGGTAGGCTGGTGGATAGGTTGGATGGTAGGTTGGTGGGTAGGTTGGAGGGTAGGCTGGAGGGTAGGTTGGAGTGTAGGCTGGTGGGTAGGTTGGTGGGTAGGATGGAGGGTAGGCTGGCGAGTAGTCTGTGAGTAACATCTGGGTTGGTGGGTATAATGTGAGTGAAATGGAGGCTAGTCGGCTATGAGCGAGAGGACCCAATGAGCATCTGTGGGAATTCAGGGAGTCATATGTGTGTTCCAGGGTGTATGGAGTAAACTGTACCTCTTGAAATACTCATTGTCTGGGTGGCTCTGAAGCTGAAACACATACGCCTCCCTCACCAGCTCCTCATTGTCTGGGGAATGGGGATACAACATGGGAATGGGGGAGCAGGGATTTCCGACTCAGGGAATGGGGGGACAGGGAATGGGGGCGCAGGGAATGGGGGAACAGGGAATAGGGAGCAGGGAATGTGGGGACCAGGGAATGGGGGAGCGGGGAATCTGGGGACAGTGAATCGGGGGACAGGGAATGGGGGGACGGAGAATCCGGGGAACAGGGAATGAGGGAACAGGAAATGGGGGAACAGGGGATGGGGGAGCATGGAATGGGGGAGCTGGGAATGGGGGAAGAGGGAATGGGGGGACGGGGAATCGGGGGACAGGGAATGGGGGAGCAGGGAATGGGGGAGCAGGGAATGGGGGAACATGGAATGGGGGAGGGGGGAATGGGGTAACGGGGAACGGGGGAACAGGGAATGGGGGAGCGGGGAATGGGGGAACAGGGAATGGGGAAACAGGGAATGGGGGGACAGGGATTGGGGGGACAGGGAATGGGGGAACAAGGAATGGGGGAACATGGAATGGGGGAACATATGGGGGAGCAGAGAATGGGGGAACAGGGAATGGGGGTCAGGCAATTGGCTGACAGGGAATGGGGGAGCGGCTCAAAAGGGAAACAGGGGATCAGGGAATGGGGGAGCAGGGAATGGGGGAGCAGGGAATGGGGGGACAGGGAATGGGGGAACATGGAATGGGGGAAGAGGGAATGGGGGGGGCAGGCAATTGGGGGACAGGGAAGGGGGGAGTGGCTCAAAAGGGAAACAGGGAATGGGGGAACATGGAATGGGGGAACATGGAATGGGGGAGGGGGGAATGGGGGAACAAGGAATGGGGGAACAGGGAATGGGGGGACAGGGAATGGGGGGACAGGGAATGGGGAGACAGGGAATGGGGGAACATGGAATGGGGGAGGGGGGAATGGGGGAACAGGGAGTGGGGGAGCAGATAATGGGGGAACAGGGAATGGGGGTCAGGCAAGGCTGACAGGGAATGGGGGAGCGGCTCAAAACGGAAACAGGGGATCAGGGAATGGGGGATAAGGGAATGGGGGATGAGGGGATGGGGAATTAGGGAATGGGGGAGGGGGGAATGGGGGAGCAGGGAATGGGGGAACATGGAATGGGGGAGGGGGGAATGGGGGGAGAGGGAATGGGGGGGCAGGCAATTGGGGGACATGGAATGGGGGAGGGGGGAATGGGGGGAGAGGGAATGGGGGGGCAGGCAATTGGGGGACATGGAATGGGGGAGCGGCTCAAAAGGGAAACAGGGGATCAGGGAATGGGGGATAAGGGAATGGGGGATGAGGGATGGGGAATTAGGGAATGGGGGAGGGGGGAATGGGGGAGCAGGGAATGGGGGAGCAGGGAATGGGGGAACATGGAATGGGGGAGGGGGGAATGGGGGGAGAGGGAATGGGGGGGCAGGCAATTGGGAGACATGGAATGGGGGAGGGGGGAATGGGGGGAGAGGGAATGGGGGGGCAGGCAATTGGGGGACATGGAATGGGGGAGCGGCTCAAAAGGGAAACAGGGAATGGGGGAGCAGGGAATGGGGGAGCAGGGAATCGGGGGACAGGGAATGGGGGAACAGGGAATGGGAGAACAGGGAATAGGGGAGCAGGGAATGGAGGGGAAATGGTTGGGGGGGCAGAGAATGGGGGGACGGAGAATCCCAGGAACAGGGAATGGGGGAGCAGGGAATGGGGGAACAGGGAATGGGGGTACAGAGAATGGGGGGACAGGGAATGGGGGATAGGGAATCGGGGATCACGGAATGGGGGAGGTGGTAATGGGGGAGAAGGGAATGGGGGAGCAGGGGATGGGGGAACAGAGGATGGGGGGGCAGGCAATTGGGGGACAGGGAATGGGGGAGCGGGGAATGGGGGAACAGGGAATGGGGGGACGAGGAATCGGGGGACAGGCAATGGGGGAGCGGGGAATGGGGAGCAGGAATGGGGGAGAGGGGAATGGGGGAGCAGGGAATAAGGGGTCAGGGAATGGGGGTGCGGGAAATGGGGGACAGGGAATGGGGGAACAGGGAATGAGGGGACAGGGAATGGGGGGACAGGGAATGGGGGAGCGGGAAATGGGGGACAGGGAATGGGGGGACGGAGAATCCGGGGAACAGGGAATGGGCATTTTGCGCGCCTGCTGCCCGTCCGACTGTGACGGGCACGCATACCGCGGGGAAATGCTGACCGTCTGATGGTCTCGTAGGCTTACCAGGTCTCCCAGCTGCTACAGGGAACTAGAGTTGCAATCACTGTTAGACGGTTTCTATCGTCAAGTTCCGTAGCGACGTCGCTGCTCCCCTATTTGGTCACCCTAAATCCAGCCGGTCGATGTCATTTCGAGGTATGGT